TTGGCTTGATACAAACTCAAAGACTCCACCCCTATTTATACTAGTGGCACCTCCTAAATTAATGGTTATGATTGTGTCACCACAATTACAATCCAATTGTTACAAATAATTCCACACCTACCACACAATAATTCAACACCTACCACACCTACCACACCTACTACACAATAATTTCATACCTACCACATATTCTAGAATAAGCTTCTAGAAATTAAGCTTTATTTAAACAACTAAAACCAAGTTTATATTTCAACAGGGCTTGCCAACTTTCAATCTGAAAGAGTACATGCCTTTTACAAAACCTAAACTTACATTACATCCCAGCAAACTATCACTAGTTGAGCTTCAAAACAAACAAAGTTGATCTAAAGAAATGCCTGCTTATTAGGATATATTTGATTCGGACTCCGTGAGCTTAGAGTTGAATGGCATTATTGAATCTTCAATGTTTAATAACTTGGCCGTGGTTTTTCATTGGACGGAGGAGGGATGGATAGAAGAGGAAGATTGTAATGACCTTGCATTTGATTGAGGCCAACCTTAAGTTGTATTTCTACTCTCTTCGTGGGAAGATGACTAGAGGTGGACTTGTGGATGTTTGATGAGTGATGAAGAGAGAGGAGTGCCAAACCATGGTTAAGAGGTAAATGGGACTCCTATAAAGTGTAGGCTGGTAAGAACTTGGAGAAGGAAAAGGGTAGACATATCGGGGAATTTGAGGGGATGTGGAGGAGGAGATGGAAAGAGATCTAGAAAATTAATATCATTCCATTACTAGTTATCCACATTCTAAGGGACACCAATAAATAAAACTAAATTGAAAATCAAAGTAAAAGAAAACGCAAAAGCAATTAAACAAGTCAATAATCCATGATCATTCAACATTAATCTCAAGAATTATGAAAAATATTCTCTTAAAGAGTTAAAGGTGGGGACATCGATGAAGTTAATCAACTTTGGAGTGCATAAATTGAGCCTATTATGTTGCATACCTCAGCATCATTTGGGATCAAAACAAATTAATCACTTTAAAAAGCATCACCTCCCATGCTTGTCTTTTATGCAAGCTTTACCTGACCACCTTCCCCATTCTGGTTTAAATATCATCCCCACAGAAAACCCATCTAACAATACCCAAACAAACACCCATTTTAGAATTTCATTATGGAAAATTTCATCCAAATCATAAACCACATACCCTCACTGTCATGAAAACTTATTTTTGTCTCATTATAATTCTCATGGAAAATTTGAACGACATTACCTCTACTCACCCCCAATAGTCTTAGAATGATTCCACAAAAAAAAATTTCTAAAATTTTAAAATTTCTCACAACATTCCATTATTCACTATACTATGCAGGTTAACCAAACACAGACAACTGACTCGGTTATTTCATAGGCATTGGTCGCCAATAAACAACCATCTATATGGGATCGTGAGAGACTCACTCTCTATCTGTATTAATCAATGTGAGTTTTGAAGGCATCGGGACGCTCGTGTGAGATACCCGTCTTTTGTGACACCCATTTTAATCGTTGTACACGTGTAAGCAAGATTCCTTTAATCAAAGTTTTCTTAGGCATTCTCCAAGATGTAATTAACCAAAGAGATATGTCTCTCTGGGAGCTGCTCTTGACCCCAGAACAAGCACACAAAATCTTTAGTTGTGGGTTTATTTCGTAGGGTGTTATTTACGGATATGTTCCAAATTATTTTTGATCTGATTTCGTTTTGGACATACGTTTTTAGGCTATCACGCGAAGTTTACTTTACAGATATTCTCCACATTCTTTCTCTTCTCTGTCTTCTCCGGATCATATATATGATATAGATGATCTATAGCGACGATAGACAAGCTGAAGACATTCAAAAATAAAAAAGAGAAAAAAAAAACGAAAACAAAAGCTACACTGGGTTTCAAGTCAAGTAATCAAGAACCATTTTAATATTACAGATCTCTCCTGTTCCTCACTTACCCTCTCGTCAACTAGGAGTGTTCTTGGAGGAGCATAAAGACTAGAGAATGCATGGAAAAAGAAAATTGAATCTCCCATAGATTACTGGTTTCTTTTCCTTTTCCTTTTCCTAGAAATTATCACGAAAATATTGTGCATCTCCAGTCGCCCTATCCCATTCTCTTTTTTTATTGCTTCAAAACCATCATTCTTAATCCTGACAATGCTTCCGCAAACCATAGCTTACAGCAGCCTCATTACAACATCTACTGTCAATCACCAAACGAAATAACAAATCAATAAACCAAATGAAAAAGATAACAAAGGCGAAAATAGGGCATTCCAAATCGCTTCTATTCCCCACGTCGCTCAAAAACTACAAACTATCATCATCTTTCTCATCGATTGTTCATTAATTCCCCAGTTGTGAGCACCAACAGATGAATCAAACAGAAAAGAAAAAAAATTAGGAGTAAATAGTAATGGCGGGAAAATGTTTTTGTGATAACGAGAGTGATAGGGAATTCTTACGCCAAGGAGGCTTGGAATCAATACAGTACTCCAGATCCTGCAACTTCTCCATCGGAGGATGCCTTACGTCCCCCATTGATGACCAAATGGCTTTTAGAGAGAGAAGCGGAGGCGGAGGAAGTCTCTCCTCCGTCTACACTGAATGGCCCTTCTGAATTGTGCTCTCAAGTGACAACTGCCACTGGGACAATCACTTGAAATCCCTGAATTAGCCCTGCCCCACCGACTCCTTTTATCCATTTATTTACATATTATATATATATATATATATATAATAAAATGATGTATGATGTGTTACTTAATGTTGTAATTTTATTGGAGTACTAAATGTAAAATTCAAAAAGTACATTTAAGATTTTAGAATATTTAGTTTTCTGGTCAAACTACAATGTTGTCAGCACCGTGATTCATATAGACTTCATGGTTGTTCGGGCTAAAGTTGTAATGTTTCGACACTAGTCTTTCGAACCTTCAATCTATAACTTAAACGTCAGTGTGTGACGACATAGTTATAAGATTAGCTTATTTCGCTCAGCTTGACTCTGTTGACAGAGATGCGGTGTCATATTGTTCGTAAATTTATAAATTAAAAACAAAATTATCTTTGAATTGTTGAGAGTTTTAGAATATTTAGTTTTCTGGTCAAACTGCAATGTTGTCAGCACCGTGATTCATATAGGCTTTATGATTATTCGGGCTAAAGTTGTAATGTTTCGACACTAGTCTTTCGAGCCTTCAATCTATAATTTAAACGTCAGTGTGTGACGACATAGTTATAAGATTAGCTTATTTCGCTCAGCTTGACTCTGTTGATAGAGATGCGGTGTCATATTGTTCGTAAATTTATAAATTAAAAACAAAATTATCTTTGAATTGTTGAGATGGATCCATATTATGCTGATAATATAAGTGTATTTATTAGCCAAATATGTGAGGGTTTATCCATTATTTATATACTTATATATAAAGATAAAATAAATAATTTAATTTAATTTTTATGTATTTTAGAAAAAGATGCCTACAAATTATTTACACATTTTATTTAAAAAAATTGTTCACTATAAAAATTCTCTTATTTTTTCCTATAATTTTTTCTTAAAATTTTTAACCTTTATTTTAATTGGGGAAGAAACTGACAGTTTGCGTGCAGGGGTAATTTCGTAAATTACAGTCAAGTTGGGCCCACAAGACACCCCTTGCACGGAAGGAACAAATAAGAGAGTGGCAAATAGAATAATCATATGAAAAAATGGTCGGCAGAGAATCGAAGGAACTGTTTCCAACCATGCGATTTGCCTTAAGATGTGTTTCTGTCATTGTTAAAAAAATTTACATATATGCCTCACGATTCTTACGTAATTCCAAACACAAGGTTAGGTATTTACATTTATAATACCTAATGTTATAAATCTATGGATGAAAGTGTAAATTTCTTTTTAAGAAGATAAATTTTATAAAATTTTGATGCAATGTTAAAGCATTAAGTACATACCACCCCCCAATTCCTCTGTATTTACATACACCCAAATATTTCTTATAGAAAAAAATATATATCACTACTTTAATCTCTAAATATTGAAATACACATTTTAGTGTATAAATAAGATGGTATAAATATGTAAAATTTATGTGTCAAATATATGATAAATAGGAATTGATCCAGTACAATATAATTATAATAATATCAAAATATCAAATACGTAAAATTTAAGTGTCAAACATATGATAAATAGGAATTGAGTTGTATTTATGCAAATATCCAGTACAATATAATTATAATAATATCAAAATATTGTTTAGATACACTAAAACCTATATTTGAGTTAATTACTTTCAAAAGTTTATTTTCTTGTTACTAAAACAAAAGTCAGCGCAAAAATAAAAGAGAAGATCAGAAGTGATGAGCAACAACTTTAATAATCTCAGTGATAGGAAATAATATGGTGTGATTCACACTGTCGTCTGGACATACGTTTTCCAAACTTAATATTTCTCTTCCGACCAAATTGTTCCCCCTCATATGCTTTGATTTGGCTATTCCAACCCCTCAAGACCATCATTTAATTCATCTAAATCATCGTGCTGAGTTGTGATTAGCCCATCAATACATCAAGACAATGCAAATCCAGTAGTACCAAATCCATCACTTCGGATATTTCTGCAATCGATCATGATATACGAGTCTAAATAAGCCAAGAAGAATTACTTGATAACGAGCTCAGCTCGATGAGCTGAAAAGTCATGCTCAAGCCGTCCCTGACAATACTAGTTAGCTCGTAAGCTAGTTTGTTTTAAAAAAATATTAGGGGCATCTACCTCCATAACACCATATTCATAACAATTTACGTATCTAACACTTTTTGGACAACAATGCACTATCGGTACAGCGCCGCACCGCAATTTTTTTATTTAGAAAACTATATTTTCTCTGTGTTTTCAAAAAACTGCTGCTGAAAATCATAATTTCTTACCCAACCTGACTTGTCATATTTTTTTAAGAAAAAAATTTTGTAATAGACACCATAATTGTTTTGAACATCTTATTTTTCAGCTTAACCCTAAACAAATACAACTGCTTTAAACAGACCCTTAAACTTTATTTTTTACATTTATACCATCCAAAATTTTTAATCTCATAAGAAATACCAATTTTATTTACTTTTTAAAATTGAAATAAATCTTTACATGCCTAACAATTAAACTCTATTTGGAATACTTAAGCATGCACAATCAAAACATTTTTCATTTATAGGACTTACCACTTCCCATTTAAGTGCCACAAAAAATCTAACTATACTCTTTAATGAATAACTTCATAATTTGGCTCACAATCGAGCTCAAACTCCAATCGTTTACACCCTCCACACAGTTGCATAGAAAATCCTTCCACAACCAAATGGAACAAGCATCCTATAAAGGACAAGAGACCATTTAAAAGATTATACAATCCAAATGCAGCAGCTCCACTTTAGGAAGGCACTGATTGCACAAATTTAGACTCACTAGTACCCCGGATGGAAAAAGGTTAATCTAAAAGACTCCTAACCACACTTATAAGACCAGCCAAATCAAACATTTAGACAATATTTACTTATCTATTTTTTTAATTTGTTTCTGTTTTTTTTTTTTTAGAGGAACATTGCTCTTTTTAAAATACTCAAAATACTAAATTTATATTTTTATCTGTTTTTAAAACACTCAAAATACTAAATTTATATTTTTATCTGTTTTATTACTGCCTGCCGCCATCGGCCACCAGCCACACCACCACCATTGTAGACCGCCGCCCCAGCCCCCCCGGGCGACCACCGATCGCCGCCACCGGCCACCATCAACCGCCGATCACTGCTCCCACCACAAGCCACCACTGCCACCGTACGTCTGTTTGCCCACCGGCCACCACCTCTACCGCCGAAGACTGCCCGTCGGCCACTGCCCACCACCCATTGTCGGTTGCCAACCACTACTGCTCGCCAATGCCGCCCACCACACCCGCCCCCAACTAATGTCTGCTGGTGCCCGGTGTTGCCCGCCCACCCGTAGGAAATGCTTCTTATTGAGTCAAGCAATGAAGAAGTATATGTCATGAACGGCAAAACTTAATACTAAAAATTAAATGTTTTATAAAAAATATAATTTAAAAAAAAAAACCCAACAAAACATATATGATATTTTTTATTTTTAAAAAATATAAATTACTAAATATCAAACTCATTTTCTAAAAATAAAAAATAAAAATAAAATAAAATAACACTAAAAAAAAAAGAAAACAGAACATGATCACCAACAAAAACTTAACTTAGTTATTTTTTTTTTTCCTTTTTTTACAAGCAGTCTTTTTTTCCTGCACTGTACAGTTCCATATTACCAAGAGTGGGTACAGCTGGCCCGCCACCCTTGCCTGTAAAATTGATCATCATCTCTTCCTCTTTTTGGTTTGAACCTGCATGGAATTGTGACAAATGTGCAAAAGGTGAGATGAATTTTCAGTTTTCCTCAGTTCGACTCGCACAGTAATAAAGGTTCTCTAAAAGAGCAGCATAAAGAGAAATACAAATATGGCTAACCTCAAAGAACTGAGAAAAGGAGACATCTTACGTTCAAACAGGCGCGCAAAAATTGATCAGATATATCAATTCGACTCAAATATAATTTAACTTAGGGTTGACCCCAAAATAATATTTGGGTCAGATTTGAGTTAAGAATCCTAACAAGTTTAATTTTTCATAACGAGTTTAGGTTAACCCACTAACTTGGAAATTAACTCAAAACTGGACCGCTAATCCAAAATCCACCCAAAACTTACTAGCCAACCCGAAATTGACCTGAGATTGACTCAAAATCAACTTGAATTTGATCCAAATAGCTATACTGCCATGTTAAACAGGTTATAAGGTCGAGTTCAGGTTACCTGGGTTGAATGAGGGTCGGGTTCAGATTTAGACCTTTTAACATGTTTAAAGTTTGGGACATATTCGGGCAAAGAAGTTTTTCAGGTCAGACCCGAAACCAATTTGACGCGTCTACGTGCAAATATAGCTGCATCATATTCTCTGGTCTACAAAATGTAACAGTATTCATTTGAGACGCAGATTAATTAACAGAGAAAATTAATATGGAAAAATGGTATGATCGGAACCTTTTCATGTTTGTGCCTAGGTTGTAAGTCATGGTAATACAAGATATTCAAAACGTGCCTACAGAAGGATAAAGCCAACAAAATTGAGATTAAAGTTCACAAAAGAATCTTAAGGTGCTGACCACTCCAATGCTAAAATGGCAGTTATAATAAAATAAAAATCTAATGAACAACTCGTACTACATCACTTGATCAGACGGTTCAGTTTAATAAATAATTAATTACAAAAACATCACTTGAACCACCCAATCCCAATTTATATTAGCATTTAACTTCATTTAACAATTAAGCAAAAAAGTCTTGATAAGCATCACTCTCTAGTTAACTTTAAAAATGTACACCTGCCGAAAATTCACAATCATTCCATTCTGCACAACTAGCTCGTGTCCATGCTTGCAAGAAAAAAATTAAGGGAAAAAAAGGAAGGCATTTACACACATAGCACACAATTCTTATGTATTTACATTCTGACACCTAAACTTTCATATTTAGCCACATAGCACTCAAAATTTAACATCACGTAAAAAATAGCACTACCATTTAAATGTGTATATTCAAAATTATAACTTTTCAAAAGTTAAATACACATTTTAATGCATAGGTTTAAAATACCAAAGTGCTACGTGTCTAATATGTAAATACAAAAGAACAAAACAAAAAGAAATTACATGTTGCCTGTAATCTTGTTCAAATAGAAAACCAGAAGATATTTGAATTAACATTACCCCTACCTTTGGCTCCAACATTGAGGAAACAGGAAAGCTATTAGGAGACCTTTTGGTATCATCATCCGCGGCACAGTCTAAACAAAGGAACTGATCCAATGTTTTGGCTTGTTCAATAGTCATGTCCATACAAGCCGGATGAAACCTGTCAAAAACGAAAGCTTATTAAGCAAATAATCAAACAAGCCCTCAGAGACACTCGAACAAGTCGAAATTTATTAATGAAGCATTTTAGTCATAACGGACATTTTAAAAGCCAAAAAAAGGCATAACTTGAATCTAAAATGCTACCGGAAAATATCTAAACTTTTAGAATGTAAAAGATGTTCAAGCATTCATTTGAAGAGTTTAGAAAACAGAAACATATCTGACATACAATAAGAAATAAATGTCCGAAAGAAAAAAAAAATATTTAGATCGTGTACACTGGAAAAAAAAAGAAGAATTCTTACAACATTTAGCTTGGTCATTGGTGCAAAGGTCTCTTGATAGTTTATCCCATAAGTCTGAGTGAAATCTTTGGCTGCCAACCTAGCATTTAACCTCTCAATGCTCTTATATGTTTTGTACTTGACATTAAACACGCATTTGCACCCAATGAGCCCTTTATCTGTAGGAAGCTTTGTAAAGATTCATGTGTTATTTAGATCGTGTTTGGATCTCCTCCTCAGCTATCCTTTTCCATTCTAGACTCTGAAGTGCTTCATGAAAAGACATAGTGTTTGCACACTATCAATATTACATACAAAAACTTCATAAAGTGATGATAATTTTTCACATGCAATATCCTCTTGAATAGGATAATTTATACAACATTCCTTGTCTTCTCCACTGGATTATACAACCCTTAGAACTTCAGCTATGCGTGAATTCAAATTTAGTTGTGAACAGTCTTGTGATTGTATATTGTCTTTATTTTGTTTGGTGAATTTCTTTCTCCCAGTGTGCACACAAAGTTTCTTGTGCACTTCCTTGTTGTCAATCTCAAGTTTTATATCCTCGAGTGATGGAATTTGGGAAACATGATGCTTAGAGAGAATTAGAATATGTTGTAATGACTTTAGATCAATGTGGATATCCAAGTAATGTCTCTAATATGATATTCACCCAGTATCTCCCCCTGAATTTCAAATTTGGGGTCGTAGAATTATTTTTCATAGAGTTAAAATATTTTTCTGTAATGGGAGAATAACAAGTGTACCCCTTTTTGTTAGACGTATAACTAAAAAATATATATTTCATGGATCTTGAGTTAAATTTTGTGTGATTAGGTTGGCAAATGTGAACAGAAAAGACAACCAAATATTTTAGAGAAAAAATAGATGAGAAAGCTCTAACAAGAGGGTGTTTCATCAAAACATCGAGAGGGGCTATGAATCGAAGGACCTTGCTCGACATTCTATTAATAAGGTAGTAGTTGTGAACACAACATCCCTCCAAAAAAAATGTGAGATATTGTGAGAAAACACTATAAACCTAAATACCTCAAGGAGATGTTTATTATTCCTCTGAGTTATCCCATTTTATAGTGGAGTCTCAACATAAGAACTCACATGATTTCATTCTTTACAAGGAAGTGTCCAAAAGATCAAATTGAAGTATTCTTTTGCATTATCAGTTTTAAGAATTTAAATTTTCTATGAAATTGAGAGTAAATTAGAGCATAGAAGGATTGAAAGATTTGTATTGTTTAAAATTTCTCATTCATGAGAAATATTCAACTAGTTCTAATATGATCATCAATGAATGAGACAAATCATCTAATTTCATTGATGATTTTTAATTTTGATAGTCCCCAAACGTTACTATGAATGATAAAAAAAGAATGTGAGGGCTTATAATGAGAAGATATACATGGCAAGTATGTTTAGTCAATTGACATGTTTCACGCTCATAAAAAAACTGACTTTTTATTAATAAAGAGATTGGGTATAACTTTGCAATATAATAAAAATTTGGATTCCCTAGATCACAATTTTATAATAAAACTAAAATTTCAATAGACTCAAGAATATGAGAAAAAGTTGGTGAAGAAAATACTAGTATGTTGAGAGAATAACATTCCTTGAATAATATAGATGTTGATATAATTTAGCACTATCAATCACATTTCCCAAATCCACCGGCTGAAATTCACAACTAGAGTGAAATTTTGTAACATAGCTCAAGTCATGAATAAGCTTTTGCTAATTGAAAGTAAGTTGTAATCTGGTTAAAGAACATATATCACAGAAGAAAGCAGAATATATTTAAAAACTTTCACTTTTCCATTCCCAACAATTCTGAATTGAGATCTATCAACAAGTCCAACAAATTTGGAAATGATGATCCTTGGTGGTTAATGAGAGCGTGAATGTTTCTAATCATATGATCAAAAACACCTGAATCTATTATCCAAAGTCGAAATCTTCCATAAGTGATGATTAGGATCAATGAACTAAGGAAGTGTGTTGTCTCCCATGAAATATTCCTTCTTTCATTTTTCATAAATGTACATAAACACGAATTGAGACCACCGAAGAAATTTATGATTATTGAGTTCATGGTTTGTGATAAAGGTAGGGAATTCAGAGGTTGTTTGGACATAATTCCGAGTTTTTTATTCAGACCCGATCACTGGAGTAGACTAGACGTCTTCATTTTGTACCCGGTCATAAACCTTATGCAAGTTTAGGGGTTGGATAAAGGAGTTGGTTGCTGCTTGCAGCAGGAAAAAACAAGTGGGGGTGCAGAAGTCCTATGATAAGGAACATAAAAGAACTTGCGAAGTAGCTTGAGGAATTACGATAGCTGCAAAGAGAATTTTGGCTATTGGAAGGATGTTAGAGAGACTTCGGCAGTCATGCGAACGAGTAGAGGGTCTGCAGATTGGCGAAAGGGACTTCGACAACTGCAAGGAGGAATCTCGCTGCTGAAGAAAGGCTGGGGTGATACAATTTGAGGAGTCCTAGCAGACAAAGTAGACAAATTACTTAAAGAAATGAAGACGAAGTCGATTCGTTCGACCAACACAAATGAAGATGTCGTCGCAGGAAGAAGACTACAACAACATCTGAAACAGACACAAACGAGGTTGACACAAATAAAGACGTCATTGCAAGACGAGAGTGACGCCATTCGAAGCAAACAAAGCGGCAAATAATTGACGCCCAAATGTCGTCGCAAGGTGATGGCGAAGCAGAGAAAGCAAGACGTCGCAGACGCCTGACAATGCAGATAACCCAAACGAGGCTTTGATACCAATAAGAAAGGCGTAGATATTATAAATTCTAAAATTTCATTATATTCAAATTGCAACTTTTAAATAGGAAATATCTAAGACAGATATAATTAATGCTATTAAAACTTACTAACACACTTATTAAATAGGAAATATCGAAGACAGATATAATTAATGCTATTAAAACTTACTAAATACAAAGAAAAGAAATACAATATAATAGGAAATAAAACAAAAATAAGAAACTCCCTCAAATAGCTTCCATAAATTGATCTTATAAGGCAACCATGGCAGGTGGTGTGGCCCGCCTTACTGGGATAAAATTCTCCACTAATTCTCCACTTTCTCTTTTTTTTCTTTTCACAGTTTATGCAAGCATTCTTTAGAGAGTAATTGAACATATAGGTTAAGACGCAACACAAAGATTTCTTATAATCAATTTGGATTTATGTCGGGCAGGTCTACTATGGAAGCTATACATTTATTGAGAGGTTTAATGGAGAAGTTCAAAGATAATAAGGAGAATCTATATTTGATTTTTATTGATTTAGAAAAAGCTTACCATAAGGTTCCAAGAGATATCCTTTGGAGAGTTCTCGAGAAGAAAGGTGTTGATATGACTTATATTCAAGTCATTAAAAATATGTATACTAGAGCTGTTACTTCTGTTGAAACTGAAGGAGGATTAACCAAATATTTTCCTATTTCTGTTGGATTACATCAGGGATCGACTTTAAACCCAAATTTTTTTGCTTTAGTTATGGATGGTCTTAGTGGACATCTACAGGAGGATGTACCTTGGTGTATGCTTTTTGCTGATGATATCCTTAGTTATCGAATTATGTAAATGTATGAATGATTTAGATATATTGGGTCTATTATTCAAAGCGGTGGTGATATAGATGGGGATGTTAATAGGAGAATTCAAGTTGGGTGGTTGTAATTGCTTTGGACCTATTGTGTGATAGAAAAGTATTGCTTAGACTAAAGGAAAATTTTATAAGATGATGGTGAGACCAGCAATGCTTTATGGCGCTGAAAGTTGGCCTTTAAAATAGAAGCAGAAAACTAAATTAAGTGTTGTCGAGATGAGAATGATTAGGTGGATGAGTGGTTTTACACAGATAAAATGTGAAATGAATATATCCGTGATATGTGATATGTAGCTCTTGTGATGGACAAAATTAGAGAAAGTCATCTTGGATGGGATGGTTTGTTCACATTAAATGTTGACCATCTGATGATTCGATTAGGAGAGTAGATGTTTTAGATTCGACTTGTGTTAAGAAAGGTAGAGGTAGACCTACGAAGACTTGGGCTTATTGTATTAAAAATTATCTTAATTTACTAGAACTAAATGAAAATATAACACTAAATAGGACGCAATGGAGAAAAAGGATTCATGTAGCCGACCCCACGTAGTGGGATTAAGGCTTTGTTGTTGTTGTTGTTGTTGTTGTACAGTACTCCATTGCAATAAGAGCAACACTCAACGAATACTAATAGTCTATTAAGGTTTAAAGCATACCCAAGTTTTGTTCACACCAATTGCAAAAATACATTTTACCAGAACTAAAGAAGACATCCCTTCAAAGCCCTCTCGCTAGAAGCACCACTAGCACCTTATTCTTAGTGATTTTATATTTATTATTAATCCTCTTGCTCTGAGCGGTGGGTGTTTCCTAAAAGTTACTTCCAAATAATCACTTAAATGTCAGGTTTAAAGAATTATTACAAGAAAAAAGGTAGAAACGCATCAGAAATTAAATAGCAAAGAAGAAAAAGAAGAAAAAGTTAGAGAAATAAGATACGCTGTAAGTTCGTCTTTAAAAAGTCTGACAGGAAGCTCCCACTAATAAGGTGAAAAACTAAGCACAACTCACAAGTGCCTATTCAAGTGTACGTAATGAGTGCTTTCAATGAAAGCAGCTATTGTTTGTTATAATGAAAGTGTACAGTACGTTTAGATTTCAAAGACATATTGTACGGCATAAGACAGAGTAACATGATAATAATAGCATTACCCAACAAAGGCATGGAACCATAAAAAAAAGCATTAAACAAAAAGGAAAATGAGAAATGTAAAAATTAAAAATTAGCAAGAGAAAATAGAAAAACATTAATTTTAAGGGAAATTTACATACGAATCACACAATTCTTATGTATTGACATATTTAACACCTAACATTTCATATTTACATATATAGAACTTTGATGCTTTAACCCTATGCATGAAAGGGGTATTTCACTTTTAAAAAGAGGGAATAGTGCTCTTTTTAATGTGAATTAAAAATTTGCGTGCTATGTGTGTAACTATGAAATGTTAGGTGTGAGATATGTAAATACATTAGAATTGTGCATTACACATGTAATGCCCTTAATATTTAACATTTAAATCTAAGGATCAAATGATTGAGCATCGGCACCTTATATTTGGTTAACTCTGCCATAGCACAGAACGATTCTATCATTTAAGCTAAACAAAAGGAACATATAATCATTATGCAAATCTTTACAAGCATTCCCATTTATTTCCATATAGATGGTCTGCATTATATTTAATAAAGCAGATTCAAAAATGAGAAAAACATCGGCACAAAAGAAGCACAATAGGAGATATCGCATATAATGCTATAATTGAGATATAACAAACTTAAAACAATGGACAAAAAAAGCAAGATAAAAAAAAAATTCTGGCCGGTTTCTCTAGAGCCATCAAAAGAGGAATTATGAAGGCTAAAGCTCATAATATCTTAAACTCAGGCCAATCAAGGTTGTACTCGCAACGATAGCATAGTAGGTTGAAGGACCATGGCTGGTGCTACTAGGTCGATGTTGCAGACAAGTTAACCAAGGATAAGATCCCAATTGTAAATTCAAGTGGTCGAGCATTTCTTTTGCGCCCAAAAATTAGATTAGAAAATAAAGCAAGAGACATCTCAAATAAAAGTAGAGAAGCGTGCCGATTTGCCACATTCAATAACAGGTGGTTAATATTGGACAAACGCTTATTGCTCTTAGAGAAAAAGGCAGATAATAATTCATAAAACAAGAAAACGTTTTTTGTTTTTTTTTCTGGTTTTTTTTTTAATAAACTATAAAACTGTGTTTAATCCTAATAAGGTTTATAGAAAAACGCCAAAATAAAGTTTTGGAATCCAATCACATCAAATTGAACTGAGGCAACTAGCCAGATGAAAGTAACCCAAAACTGCGGTCAAGAACTTCATCTTAATGCTAATGGCACGACAAAACCATTAACTGAAACCAGATACATAAATACATAGGAGAAGAGAAGCAACTCTTCTCAGTCAGGCCACTCACCAGTCCTTGCACCCTTCGCACTGCACCATTAGCGTGTCCGGATTGTAAGGCATCTCGCATTTGCAGTACCTTCAAAACACAGCTCAAGTAAATCAGAACAGTAACCGTTTCCACATCTCCTAAACGGTGCAGAAAATAAAAAAGGAGTTCGACAAAACAAAAATCCGGGTGAGTGCAGCCTACACTGCTACGCGGTCAGGAGTGAAACCACCGGTTAAAACCTTGTACTCGAATCGGCAGAAGAAGTCCTCTGACCCGACATCCTCGAGCTTGGTATAGTTCTTGAAGGAATGAACCACGCACTTATCTTCAATGGTGTGCGCGCTCTGGACGTCATAGTGGTCGGACAGAAAGAGCTCCCTAGCCCCGTGGAACTGCCGCCGTCCACCAATCGAATCTTCAGGCCGGTAGTACCACCGAATCCTCACATTCACTTTGTTGCGTTGGTCTGCTTCGATCTTCTCCACCCGCGCAACGTACGGAAAGTTATCCGGATCGGAGGGCCTCATAAGCACACAGTCACCCGCTACAAAGACAATCATCGTCATCAACAACAAAAAGACAAACCGTAGAGAACCGATAATAGCTCAAAACAACCAGAACATAAACATCAAGTTCTCGGAGGAGGAGACGAACGACACATACGGTGCACAACCTTGTCGGTGCCCCTGATCGTATACGAATCGAGGTCCTTCTTCCCTGGCTTACTCTTCGCCATCGACACTGAATCAAGCTACAAGTCGTCTCTCCCACTAAATTATCTTCAAATGAAAACTTCTTAACCTCGTTCCCCCAAGTACCTTACAGATAACGCATTGGATTCGCCATCTCTCCTTCGACCTCTCACTACCGAATCTCCGAATAGGGGCGGTGGTTGGGAGAAAGGAGGAGGAGAATTCAGAAAACGGAGGGCTAAGCTAACCCTAGTTTTTAAAGCTAACGCTACTTTCTTCCGTCAGCGAACAGTGTTATGGGGATGATTTCTCTTTTTTTTGGAGATAAATAACAAGAGCGAGCCATTAGCTCCTAAATAACTTTGTTTTGTGTTTGGCTCCATTCAAATTAAAATCTCTTCAAATTAATTCCTCTTTGGCTCGATTTTGAGCTCCACAACCTACATATTTTAGAATATAATAATGATAAAAAATTTATTAAAAGAAATAATATTTTTGTATTAGTTTCCACGCGTAACTCTACGTGCGTTCATTCCTTTAAGAACCATACAAAGCTCAAGGATGTTGGATCAGAGGACTACTTATGCCGATTCGAGTACAAGGCTTTAAACGATGGCTCCACGCCTGACCATGTAAGATATGTGGAAATGGTTAATATATCATTTATATATAAAAGGATTCGGTCATTTAAAAAAAGAACTAGAAAGGAAACAAATCAATTATAATATATTTATTAAATAAAAGTCATAAATATAACACTAAATGCAAAAAAAAAAAAAAAATCAGTGAATAATAACATGATACTCAAAACATATAGCAATAACTTGAATTAATTTACCCACTCTTTTTGTCCTCAATTCCATAAAAAATCACCGGAACAAAGAGGGAAAATAGGGAAAATATACCCAAAAAAAAAAAAAACAATAAAGATGGCGCATAGTGTGGGGCAATAACTAATGTATAGACCATATCTATTAAGTGAGAGCGAGAGTAGGACTTGACAAATGGCCACTTAAGACATTATATTTCTAAAATAATAAATTAATTTCGATAAAAAAGAATAACACTCCAAAAAAATATTGCGTCGAAAACTGCACCTAACAGTTAACCACTGATCATCACGTCGTAATACACCTCATCATCATCATAGGGTGATCTGGCGGACGGTAATTGACCGTCACTGATTTACATACACCCGGACATAATATTTCTTCTTGAATAAGACTTAATATGGTGATTATAATAAAATAAATTTTTAATAATCATCAAAACATTTAAATAAGTGTTTCTTCTATGGCAATTATAGAGCTGCTTTTTCGAAGACTACAACAGCCCAAATAGACACTTAACCAATTTAGATAGATTTTTCTGATAACTTAGATGTTTCTAATCCGTTCGTTTGAAACTTTATAAAAACAATATATTTAAAAAACTGATTATTCAAATTAAATAAAAATATATATTATATTTTGAATAAGTTCTATGGTCGATGATTTTTTACACCTAAAATAAAATAAAATAAAATAAACTTGTAAAAAAAACACGTTTCATCATTTTTTAAATAATATACATTTTCTAAATTCCGTCAAAATTCGCATCAATATCCTACAATTCCTATACATTTTTTTCCGGCATGTTATTTTATCGGTGAATAAAAATACATGTTATATATATATCTCAAAAGGGAATCGGTATTTGGTCTGGTCCTCAAATAACGATTCTCCAATTTGGGTCGAAACTCAAGTGTGCTTCGATTGATCCGAAGAGCCCGCACCACGGGATTCGAACTCCCGACCCGAAGAATTTATGCCAGAGGCCGCATAAATGAGCCGGGACGTGGATATATATATGTATATATATGTCCACCTAGGACCTTCATAAGTACAAGCATATCACTCAAATTTTTAACATCACATTAAAAATACCACAATTAATTACTTCTTAAAAACACCTGATGCATAGATTTATAATACCAGAGGATTATAACTGTAAACATCATACTTTGGGCATTAGATATGTAAATACATAATAATTTTGTTGTGTGCCTGTAAACTTCCATTTATTTATTTAATAAATACTTGTTATTTTATGAAGCTGAATCCAAGTTACGCATTATGATTTATATAAATTATAAAATATTCATATGGTCATGTGCGCAGTGTGAATATAAACAATACATACAAACACACAAAAAATGTACATGCAATCATGTGTGTGCGCGCGTGCGCCAAGCAAAGCCAAACACAATCAAATGCAAACAATAGAACTTTTTTGGTAGCCTTCCTCGTATCAATAGCATGATGGAATTTTTAAATAAGAAAGAACCACAAAATTCTTACGAATTTACATATCTGACATCTAGTTTGATATTTTTATATTTATAAGATTTTGGTGCTATAAATCTATGCATAGAAAAAGTGCATTTGTCTTCTAAAAAATTAATATAGTGGCATTTTAGATGTCATATTAAGGATTTGAGTGTGATGAGCATAAACATTAGAGTTTCAGTGTTCTAGATATGATAATACATAAGAATTCTGTTGTATGTGTGTATGTAAATGACCCTAAAGATAAAACAAAGGAGATTCCTATGAATTTACAAATCTAACACCTAAACTTTAATTTTTTTACATACGAACCCCCTTACCAATGCATGAAAATGAGTATGTCACTTTTTAAAAGATAAATAGTGCTATTTTTGACATGTTATGAAAGATTTGGGTAGTATAAATGTAGGGTTTTTAAGCAATGGAATTGAGTCTCATACCTCCATTATTTTCAACTTCCTTAATGTCCGCAATTTCCAGTTAGTCCACTCCTTTTCTTCTCGCCTTTAAATCCCATCACTCAGTTATTGGCCTTCTTCCATTAAAGATGAATCGGTTCAAAGGCCCCTGCAAAAAATAACGGTAACAGGAAGAAATACTTACAATTTCATCCCAGTAGCTGCCTCTGTATATCATACTTTTGGTCTTCTGCCGCGCCCCTTTTCATCAGCACTGGAAATTACAATATTTACGAAGTATAATACCACACAAGTCGCATGTATTTACATATCTAACACCCAACATTGGTGTCATAAAACTGTGCATGTATAAGTGTATTTTGTGGCAATATTTTTTATGTGATGTTAATGATTGGAGGGATATGCATGTAAATATGAATGTTTAGGTGTTAGATATGCAAATAAATAAGAATTATCCAGCATGTATGTAAATACCCCCAACAATAAGCAAAGAAAACTTTTGGATCTGAATATTCCGATTAAAGTTTGATTAGGATGAATATGAAAGTCATTATACTTACTTTACGATGAATATAATAGATAAAAAAATCAATCAAAACTCACATTACAAATAAAAATTTGTCAAAACAGATGCTGTGCAAAGGAGAAAGAAAAAAAGCCAATATTTAGCACTTAAATGTACAGCACAAAATGAGATTAGATCTGTGGCAACAAGTCAGGATCGACCAAAATTCTACTGCTGGTATATAAATAATTTAAATAATATGACCACAAAGCACCATCCAAATCTATAACAATTTTCTAAATTATTATACACACAAACTGCATTTCTCATGTCTTAAAAGGATACCAAAAAACAGCATGAGAAGCCTCATAAAAACCACCTCCCACCTTACCATCGGCGCATCAAGAATCGTTTCTCAGATGTATCGAAATGGCGGAATCAAGAACCGACTGTCGCTCGAGGGCTGAAGGCCGTCATGCTGAGCGAAGAGACTTTGCGCGAAACTAGTACAGCCTCATTGCTGACGGCTTTCGATGCAGCGATGTCCTCAAGCCGCTTCCAGAGCAATTCGCGCTTTGCCTGTGACTCCATCTCCTTCGCTTCATTCTCTTGGAATTTGACGGAACACTGGTTGAAGAAGTCTTGGTCAGAGTCTAAGAAGAGCTTTCGAACATTGAGGGTTAGGCCTTGGACAGCCTGGTTCCAGTGGCCTCTCATGTTCTTCTCCAGGGCGGGGAAGATCAGAGGAAGAATGACTTTCCGGTTCTGGGTGATTAGGTTTCTTAAATGGTCATTGTTCCAAAGAAATAATGATCGCTCAGCTACCTGAGTTATCAGAGGTAAAATCAGCTGATAAATTTGAAATAAGGTAAGGTATTAGACATACAAAATTGGGGCATTTACATACATACCACCTATTTCCTATGTATTGGCATGTCTTAACACCTAAATATTTCCTTTTACAATTATCACATTAAAAAAAAAACCACCATTTTAACTTGTGAAAAGAGTAATACACCTATTATGCATAGGTAAGGTGGGGTGTGTGTAAAAATTGAAGTTTAGGTGTCAGATATGTAAATACAAAGTAGTGGTATGTATGTAAATCTTCCTAAGCTATTACTGTAAAAATTACAGAATATGATGGCCATGTGTAACGCACAAAGAAAACACATGAAAAAAGAATAACCTGGTAATTGATGCTGTTTAAAAGAACTATTAAATGTGCAGGGTGATTAGACAATTGAAAAATGATACAGTGCTGAGCTTGCAATGACCGGAGGTTTATATAATAAGTTTGGTCTTTTTCTTTTTTTTTTATTTTAATTAATAATATTGAAGTCCATGGGATCGTCCCAACAAGCTCTCAGGATGAGCTTGGACTTCAACATGGAAGCGAAACTGATCAAATATGCACTTAAATAGAGTTATGAATATGTTTACTGCTTGTGTTAGAATATTTGCAGCACAGAGTATTATGTCCTCACCTTATACAAAGATTTCTACATAGATTAAAAAAGTAAAAGAAAAACTCAAATTTTTACATGAAAAACTAAAAAGGGGAAACAAAGAGTTTGGCCCAGATAATTTGGTCCATTATGAGATTAAACATTATAAGAATTCGCTCTTTCGTGAAGAATAACGGAGAACAACAGTTGAGCAACTATAATTGTTGAAAGTGATTGTTGGAGTTGAACCCCAAGTGGAACTTTACAGCTTTTCCAAATCTTTAAACTATCAAAATTTAGCTCAAGCCCATCTTCATATTAAAGAGGTACATTTATAATTCTTTTAGATGACATTTAAGAATTTAAGTCAAAATCTTAAAACAATTTATCAAAGCAACCCATGTTAATCCCTTTAATTGTAAACCATTCTTTAGCTTTTAAGTGCATTAATGACCCAATAATTGAGTAATCTTGATCTTATTACATTTCACACATTTAAAGGGCGCGCGTGCACACACAAAAATTATAAAGCATGGCCACTCCCTAAGATGATAGCATGAACCTCCCCTTAAAGTCAAAAACCAAGTAAAGTTTCATAAATTATAAT